ATTATATTTTTATGCAAAAATATTTTTATAGTTAGAAGACTAGTTTTGTCACAGTACAGACCTAATATATTTATTCTACCTATACTATCTGTTCTATTTGTTTAATCTATTTAATCTATTTAATCTATTTAATCTGTTTTACCCCAACAATCCGGCTGTTTTTTCTAACTATTTTATATATAATTTATAAATTTTTTAACTATTTATTTATTTTTAATTTTATTTATAGCTCTTTAAGCTATATCTTATTTATAAATCTAAGAATAGCCTAATCTAATAGCTAGTAAAAAATCTAAAGAACTAATTATAAAAAGTTATTTAGCTAGAACTACTATTTTTATTATCCAGCTAGATTAAAAACTAGATATTAGTTTATTTTTTAATATTATATAGCTTTTATTCTTAGAAATAGTAGTTTTAATAAAATACTAATAATCCTATAATTCTTAACTATACTAAATAATCTAGAAGAATTCGTTCAGTATATTAATAAATATTCTAAAAAATAGTATAATTACTATAACAAACTATATTAATATATTATAAATACTAAAGCTGTACTTACTAATATTTAGTATATTATTATTATAAAAAATATACTACTCGCCTATTAAACAGAACAGATTTAGAAGAAAAAAACCGATTTAAACTACTAGTTTATAAAAATAAATACCATCTAAAAAATTATTTTTAAAAAAAAAACTAAGCTTAGATTAAATATATTAAAGCTATTCAGATTATTATTTTTATAAGAAATATTCTAATATAAATTTTAAAATTTATATTTATTATTAAGAATACTGTAGCTGTTTTAATAAAAGTAACTATATTAATTAATTCTAAATCTTTTATTTTTATTTTTTTCTTTAAATATTTATTTAATTCTAATAAGTTTAAAAACAACTATTCTAATCTCTACTAATTTATTTTTTAAATTAAGAAAAAAATAAATATAAATACTGACTAATATACTACTACTATTATTTAAAAGTTATATATAATTAGTTATGTAGATAAAATATTATATATCCAAATATAATTTAAATAATTTTATTAATATTTTATATCTGCTTAAATACTTCTTTGGTAATTCTAATTATACTAAAATTATATATAATAAATTATATTAATTAAAATAAGAATCTTATAATTTTATAATATTTTTTGCTAAATTCAAATATTTGATTTAAAAAATATATATATATTTAAATATTCTTTTTTTTATACTCAAAGACTATATCAGCCGAGATTTTAAAAATATACTATTAATTAATATTTTTTTAAAAAAAACTACCATAATTTAGTTTATTGTTACGGGACGGATGAATTATACTAATCGAAACATACCTTTAAACAAGAAGAAATAACTAAAAAGCTATTTTATTCATTTATATAAATTTCTTTTATATATACTAGGCTAGTATTAATTAGTATATAATATTATAAGATCTTAAATACCAACTAATACCTAAGACCAAGCTTTATATTAGGATTTTAATTTTATAATAAAAGCTTTCTCTTTTCTTTTTCTTTTCTTTTTTTTATTTTATATAATCTTTTACAGCTTATTATATATCGCAGCTTTTTAATAAATAAAGTTCTTCTTTATACTATTTATATAACTAGTTTCGGAAATATAGTTAGATTTAGCTACTAGCTTTATATAGAATATATAAAGTACTATATAAAAAGACTTTTCTTTTTTTTTTTAAACTTTTTTTTTATATATTTTTTCTTCTTTTTTCTTTCTTTCTAATCTGTTTTATTCCTATCTATATAAATTTTTTGTTAATTTTTTTCTATTTATATAATATCTCTATTTTCTAATACCGAAAATAGCAACTTTAAAAAGTTAAATAATATATTTATTTTTTTTTATTATAATTCTACTTAAATTTCTATTACTATATCTAATTATAATTTGCTTTTTCTTTCTATACAGTATATTACTATATATAATTCTTATACTAGTAATATAAAGAAATAAATAACTATATAATTTATAATATATAAAAATAAAGCTCTACTCTAGCTTTATTATACTTCAGATTAATAATATATTTAATATTTTTTTATTATAAATTTAAAATAAAAGTTAATACTTTTATTATTATTTAAATAAAATAATCCAGCAGATTTTTTATATAGTACTAATTCAGTTAGATATATACCGAATATTTTTTTTATATTAACAGTTTTTTAATTATCTTTTATAATCTAATAGTACTAAATACTTATAAATATAATATTTAAAGAAAATTTCAACAGACCATACAGCTATTTAAATAATAAAATAATACTTATATTAAATATAAATTTAAAAATCATAGTATATATTATAATTATTATAATCCGGCCGAGTCTAAATATAAGTCTATAATAATTACTACTTTTTTTTATAATATTATCAAAGAATTAGTAAATTAAATATAATATATAAGCAGGATTTAGTATAATAATAGTTAATTACTTTTATTAGATTAAGTCAAGTCTTTCTTAATTAAAAAAATAATAGATTACTTACTTTTTTTTTTTTTTTTTTTTTTTTTTTTTTTTTTTTTTTTTATTCTTTCGACTCTATATAATCTAAAACTAGAAATAGAAGTTTCTAGTTTTTATTTATATAATATTTAATTAGAGTTTAATTAGAACTGCTACTATTATTTAACAGCAGCTTTTATATTATTAAATACTAAGACTAGTTCTTAGATTAGTTTTAAATAGTCTTTTTATTTAATTAGATATTATAGCTGGTTCTTCTGATTTTTTTTTATATATTATTTATTAAGAATTTTTTTAATTTTATATTCTTTTTTACTATTAATTATTATAAACGGTGGTTATATATTATTTTATAGTTATAATAATAATATATTATTAGCTGTTAGCCGGAAAAGATTAATATAAAAAATAAAATAGATTTCTTTAAATATATTAAACTATATAATATATAATTTTATTTTTTTTAGAACAGTATATTTTATATTTTTCTAATCTAATTTTTTACTTAAATATTTTGTTTAAATATTCTATAAATTAAGCTATACTTAATTATTTTTTTAATATAGCAAAATAGCTTAGCAGAATTTATTAGCCTATTTTTTATATTTTATTATATATAAATAATAATATCTTAGGCCCAGTCTAAAGTATTATATATTTTTTATATAATCATATTTTTTTATTAAATAAAATTTAAAGCAGCTATTTTCGGATTTATATTTTAAGTAATCTTTTAATATATTAAACTTAACTTATATCTATAGTTTAAAAAAATAATAAAAATCTAATAATTATATTTATATAATTATTAATTATTAGTTTAGTTAAAGATAATAGATTAACTTAATTTTTTTAATCATAGTCTATATAAGCTTTTAAATAGATTTTAATTATATTATTAATATACTCTATTACTCTATCTATTTAAAAATAATAAGCAGTAAATAATTATTAATTAATTTTTAGTAAATTATATATTTTTTTATATACAACTTATAAATTAAATATCCCGGTCTAATATTAGAATTTTTAGTAGTTTATATTATTTAAAAACTATTTTAAATAATACTTTAACTATAGCTTTTATAAAAATCTTTTTTATTATATAAAATATTATTTTTTTTATCAATTTATCTATAACTATAAGTAGGTTTATATATAATTTACTATCAGACAAGTTAGTAATAAAATCTATTATTAGATTCTACTAAAATTAGTCTGATATTAGCAGTAGCTTTAATAATTTATATTTTAATTCTTATTATAATTTTATACAGCTATAAATATTATAATTATAAATATATCTTTTTATATTCTATAATATATTAGACTAGAAGTATACTTTACTAAAATAAAAATAAATCTATTCTCAGCCGGGATATTTTATAATAAAAAAATTATAATTACTTTAAATAAGTTTTATATAAAGTAATTTATAATTAGAAATCTACTGTTTTTTTTTAAAATATATCTAAGCCTCTTCTATTAAATATTTACTTAAAAAAACTTTAAATTTTAGTTAAAACAGAAATTTTTATATTTCTTTTTATATAAGTTTTATAAAAATTTAATAGTCTAAATCTATTACTAAAATATAAATCTATCTAATCTTAGATTTTTTTTCTAATCTTAGTAATTTTATTATAGTTTATTATATCTGTTCGAAGAAGTCTTTATCTAGTTCTATTTTATTTTTTTATAGTTATATTAGAACCGCGGTAATTAGATTAGTTTTCGGTTTTATATCTTTTTCTAATATTCTATTAAATATTTAGATTATATAGAACAAAGTTTGGGGGTTCTATTTATCAGATATATTCTATTTTTATTATAAAAAAACATCTGCTTATTTATTTTTTATTTTTTTTTAGTAAACTAATTTAAAATTAAATCAGCTTAGAATTAAGCTTTATTATATATATCTTTTAATAAGCTTATATAGTTTAAAAAAATATTTTAGATTTTTATAATCAGTTATTACTATAAATTCTAATACTAAATATAACTTAATATTCTATATTTCTAAATATTATACAACTACTAATAATTTTTTATTATAAATCTTATAATTATACTTGGCTGGAGTATTCTATTTAAAAAAATAGATATAAAAATATAACTTTCTATTCTTATTTATTTATAAAAATATTTTTTTAGTATTATAATTAGAAGAATTAGTTTCTACTATTATTATATACTTAAAATTAAATAAACAGAAAATTAGCTTTATAATAAACTTTTTTTTAATATCCAAAAACTTATTTTATATTCTTAGATCTATTAAAAAAACTAGTTTTTTTTATTAGATTTATAAGCGGTTATATAATAGTTAAGAAATCCGAAATAAACCTATAATAAAAGTTTATAAATTTTAAAAAACTTTAGATTGCTTTTACTAATTTAGAACTTTTCTAAAAAAATAATTACTTTAACTTTTTTAAAATCTATTTTAATATCTTATTCTGTATAAATAATAAATTTAAGATATAAAGTTTTTTTTATTTAAATTTATACTTTTTAATATTTAAGAATAAACCGGCTTTTCTAAGTTTCTGTAGTATTTTTTGTATATATTTATAGTATTTATTAATATTTTTATTAATATAAATTAACATGTTGTTAATATAGATTAAATAAAATTTATTAAGATATTTATATAGGATTTAGTTAATATACTTCTAAAAAGTACTTAAAGTATTTATTAAGCCAAAAAATATTACTAGTTATTTATATAATCTATATTATATATAAAAGACTGTTATTTATTCTTAATCTTTTGTAATATAAATTTTATAAAAAATAAATAAGATATCTAGCTTTATAAACTATTTTACTTTTTTAATTTAATTTAGAATTTTATAAATTAAAAAAAGCAGATAGTAGTCTTTTTTTATAATAATATTAAATATTTAGTAGTCTATACAGAATTTTAATTCTTTTTTAAATTTTTATATAAAAAGTACTAAAGCTGCTGTTAAAAAATAATTAACTTATATAAAATTTTTTTCTAATAGTTTAATTAGCTTAGAATATAGAATTGTTAGCTTTTTTTAGAATATATTATATATTGTTAAGGGAAAAGAGGTCAGTTAAGTATAGAATAGCAGCAGTCTATTAGAATTAAAACTAATCCTTACTTTTCTATAATCTAGCAAGATAAAAGAAAGTTAAGTATATAAAAGAATTTAAAATAGTTAACATTATAACTATTATATAGAAAAGACGTAAAAAACTTGTAAATAACCAACTAAATTATTAAAATTTATCTGTAATAATTAGGCTTCTTTTTTTATACAGCTGTTTTTAGTAGTATTTAAATAGTATAATACTACTATTTTATCGGTTATTCTAACCAGTTTAGTATAAACAGTAACAGCAGACAGTACTATTATAAAATTAAACTAAGTTTAAATTAATATTTTATAAATTAGTATTATTTTGCTTTAAAAATATAATATTTTTTTATATATAATAATAATAATATAATTATATCTTACCAACTTTTTTACTATTATTTAATCTTATTCTTGTAACTTTATAATACTTTTATTTTATCTGTATTTTAGTGTTGTTATAAATTATTTTTTATATTATTTATATTATCGGAAGAATAAGTATAAATCTATATTTAATATTACTAAAATACTAACAAATAGCTGTAGTTTTATTAATAAATTAAAATATCTTTAAGATCTATTTACTATTTTTTAATAAAAACTTTATTTTATTTTACTATTATATTTTGTTTAAAATATTTAAGAACTTTAGTTAAAAACTATATTATTAAATCTAGTATACAGTTTAAGTCTAGCTGTTATTTTAATACTATTTTTTTAATAAAATATTAGTAGTATACTACGCAGAAGTCTAATTATATTTTAATATATTCTTTATTTTACTATTATAATATAGCTAATTGTTGATTTAATTATAATAAATATACTAAAAAATATATCTAATTTTATAAAAATTTTATATTAAATTATATATTTTTAGAATATTAAGTATAAAAATATTTAGAATCCGGTATTCTGCTAGTCTATCAGCAATTTTATTATTATACTTATAGTAAAGTTTACTAATATAAAAAAGATTTATAAAATTAAGTATTATATCTTTACTATAACTAAAAAAATAATAATAATAAATAATTATTTTATTTTATTAGAAAATTATTAATAAATTAGTAGAAATATACTGCGGTGTACTATAAGTTTATTATTAAATATTATATTCTTACTGTATATATAAATAAGAATTTTAAATATTTTTATTTTTTTTTTGATAATATAAATTATTTACTTTTATAACTTACAATTTTAATATTTTTAAACAATATTATTTAGAAAATAATATATTTATATACTAATAAGCAGAAAAATAAGAAGTATTTTATTTAAAAACTTTATAATATTTTTTTAGTTATTATTATTTATAGCTTATAATATAATTATTTTACTAGTATTTATAATATATCTTAATATTTTTATACTATTATAATACTATTTATTTTTATCCTGTTAAATACAGTCCGGGTCTGATCTTTTTTTTTTTTTATAATTATTAGATTTAGATTTGTAAATATAAATAATACTAATATATTATATAATTTTACTATATTTACTTTATTATAATTTTAGTAACTATTGTATATATATTTATATCTGGAGTATTTTATTATTATTTTATTTATATACCGATTTTAAGTTTTATAATATTAAATTCTATTTTTTAAACTTATAAACTTTTTTCTAAATATTTGCTAAATTTTCTGTAGATAGTTATTAGTTGTATTTAAAAAACTATTCTTACTATTTAATTAAATAGAACTATTTTTTATAGTAATATAAACTATTTAATATTTTTTCTATCTTCTATTTTTTATTATTATCTAAATCTAATATTAGTAGTATTTTAATATTATTTCTTTTAGTTTTTTATAGTTTTAATAAAAATATATAAAATATATTATATAATTATATATACTATTTAAAAAGATACAAACAAAATACTTATTTTTTTATTATTTTTAGGATTCTAAAAAATTTTATAAATTTTAAAACTAATTTCTGAGCTGTTTTTTTAAACTTAATATTTATAGTAAATAGTTTAACTAGATCTTTTTATTTAAAAATATAGACTATTTTATTTTTTTTTTTAAATAATAGGATTTCCTAATCTTTATTATAGTAAGTTGAATATTTTTTGCTTATTTTTTACCAGTTTTTTTATAGCTTTTTTTATAAGATATATAACTTCTCTAATTTTTTTAGAATTAATAAGATTTTTACTTTTCTAGGATTATTTTTAATTCTAAGTCTAAATTTAAAAAAAATATTTTATTAATACTTTAAAAAGAATAGTTTCTGTTAAAATATTTAAATAACTATTATATATAAATTCTATTTTATTAAACAGATTTATCTAATAGTTCTAATATTTAATTATAAAATATTATAAATATTATTCAAGTACTTAATTAGTTCTTTTTATTTAGCTATTAGTTTGTAAATAAAATACTATTAATAACTGTTTTTTAATTTTAGTTTAATAATAGAGATCTAACTAGAATTAACTAATAAATAAAAAACCTCTATTTATAATAATTCCGTCGAATAATCTAAATTTTAATTTAATTTTATAGTAAAAAAGCTCAGCTAATTTTTTTATATAAATTATATATAATACTGTTATAAAACAATTTATTTTTATAAAATAATTTATAATTATAAAAATAAAATCTATTTAATTACTATTAAGATATAGCTCGGATAGTCTGATAATAAAATCTATAATTATTTTACTTTATAATCTTAACAGAATTAGTAGATTTTTTAATCTTTTATAAAAATAATATCTAGGTATAGTCTAATATTAGCAGATAAAACAAATTACTATATAGTTTTTTATATTATTTTAAAAATTAATCTAGTAGAATTTTTTATAAAGAAGTTACTCGGTTCTATTTTAATTAAAATATTCTACTAGTAGATTATTATAATATTACTATAATAGCTTTTAATATAAACTATCTGCTCTTAGTATATAAAATCTATTTTTAAAATATAATAATTTATTATAAATAATTCTTTAATTTTTAGATAGCTAAGTTTTTCTTTTTTTAGTTTTAGAATTCTTATTTTATAATTTCTTAATTAATTTTTTTAAATTATTATTATAATAAGATTTATAAATCTTTTTATTTTTTTCTATATTTTTCGCAGCTGTAATACTAGCGGAACTTAAATAATTTAGTAAATAAATTATAGTCTAATTAGCTAATTTTATACCGGCTAAATCTATAGACTTATTTAATATTATATAAATACTAAGTCCAGAACTTTTCTATAAAAATATTTTATTATATCTAAACTAAAATTTTTTAATTTTAGATATTATTAAGGCGGGTACTAATTATCTATATAATATTTTTATAATATTATTATTATATAAATTTTTTACTGGCTCGAATAATCTAAATAAAATATTAGTAAGATTACTCTTATTTAATTTATATTTAATAATAAAATCGAAAGATACTAAACTTATATACTAATATACTTAATATTTATTAAGTTTAGATTAATTTATAAATATTTATAAGTTTATATAATTAGATATAACTTTAATTAGAAATTAAATCCTATCGAGATATTAATACTAATATTTAAAAAAATAAATAATAGTAAAAAATTTCTAATTCGGAATATTCTAGTTTAGTTTTATATCTAAGAATTTCTTAGACTATATAATAATAATATAATATTATCTAATTAATTTAGGCTGGATTAGAATACCGGCTATTTCTTTATTACAGATATTAGTTTCTATTTGAATAGATTAAGTTAGATTAAAAAAATATAATAAAAAAGCAGTCTAAAAAATATAAATAAGTTAATAAAATACTAGTCTTTCGACTAAAAATAAATAATAAATACTAGGCTTTTTTCTATTTTAGCTTTCTTTTATTAAATTAGTTAAAAATAAGACTAATGAGAAAAAATTATAAATAAATTAATAATAAAAATTACAAAATCCTAGAAAACTTTAAATATTATAATAAATAATAGATAATAGCTATAAAATAATAGTTTTAATCCGACCAGAATCTATTATAATATTTTTAAAAAAAATAAAATAATTTAAAAATTTAACTTACTTCTAAAAAAAAAATATTTTAAGATTTTGGTATATAAATTAGCTTACTATAATTATATTAATATTTGTTTAATATATTTAATATATTTATATTTAATTATTAAAAAAATAAAAATATTATCTAAATATGTGATATAAATAATATTAAGAATATTATAAAGTATTAAATAGATATAATTCTAAAAAAATATAAAAGTATTAGTTAAGCTGAATAGTATTATTATATACTTAAAATAATTATAATATATATAAAATATAGTTTTCTATTTATCTTTTTTTTTAATATAAATATAATAGTAAGTATTCTAAATATTAATCTTACTAAAGTATTTATATTCTATAAGATAATCTAGAATTTTAGAAATTAAAGAAAATAAATATTAGTTTTTAATAATAACTCTATTAAGTCCGCGGTAGTCTATATATAAATATAAACTTTTGTTTTTTTTAAATATAAAAAAAATAAAAGCTTCTATAAAATTTTTTAAAGATTATATTCTTTTAT